GTATCATCGCCTGCCTTGTAGGTGTGGTATTTTCTGGGATGGGAACGGGTACCTGGAGAGGGGTTGCTAGGATGGGCTGGTGTATCCGGCCTAGCCCTTGCTACTTCCAGCTCATGCTTCCTCTCTTTTTCTCTCTCTTCCATCTCTTTTTCTTTCAGCTTCATAGCTCTCTTGTGGGCCTCCTCTTTGGCTTTCTCTTCTCTTTCTCTCTGCTCCATAGCTCTCTCATCAGCTTCTTTCTTGAGTTTTTTTAATTGAAGCAGTCTCTGATGTTTCCTTTCATTTTCTTCTGCTTCTAGTCTGGCCAGTTCTAGTTTGTTAGCTACATCACTGGTACTCATTTTCCTGTTTTCTTGTGCTGGGCCACACCCCTCTGCAGTTGACTGAAACTGGGATGCACTCAGCTCAGGCTGCTGCTGAGGTAACAGAGACTTTCTAACTAGCTATCCCCGATTAGAAAGAAAAAAACAATTCAGCTTGTAAATTCCTTTTACCAGCCGTTTGCTCATTGATTGAACCCTTCTCTTAACAAAGACCCTTGTTAAAAAAACTTAACACCTCTGTCTTCAGGCAAGGAGAGATAAAATATGCATCTACCTTCAGCTCTGCTTCTCAAGCAGCTAGAAAGGAGGAGAAAAAAAATCCTACTGGCTTTTGGTTTAAAATGATCCCACCGCTCTGCCACCATGTCAAGGCTGCTTCCCCACTTTGAACTTTAGGGTACAAATGTGGGGGCCTGCATGAAAACTTCTAAGCTTAACTACCAGCTTAGATCTGGTCCGCTGCCACCATTCCAAAGCTAATTCCCTTCCCTGGGTAGCCTTGAGAGACCTTCTCCAATTCCCTGGTGAATAGAGATCCAAACCCCTTGGATCTTAAAACAAGGAGAAATTAACCATCCCTCTCCTTTCTCCCACCAACTCCTGCTGGATCAAGATCCAACCCCCTTGGATCTTAAAACAAGGAAAAATCAATCAGGTTCTTAAAAAGAAGGCTTTTAATTAAAGAAAAAGGTAAAAATCATCTCTGTAAAATCAGGATGGAAAAATAATTTTATAGGGTAATCAAGCCTTAGGTTCAAAGTTACAGCAAACAGAGATAAACACTCTAGCAAAAGGTACATTTACAAGTTGAGAAAACAAAGATAAACTAACACGCCTTGCCTGGCTGTTTACTTACAAGTTTGAAATAGGAGAGACTTGTTCAGAAAGATTTGGAGAACCTGGATTGATGTCTGGTCCCTCTCAGTCCCAAGAGCGAACAACTTCCCAAACAAAGAGCACAAACAAAAGCCTTCTCTCCCCCCCATCCCACAAGATTTGAAAGTATCTTGTCCCCTTATTGGTCCTTTGGGTCAGGTGTCAGCCAGGTTACCTGAGCTTCTTAACCCTTTACAGGGAAAAGGATTTTGGAGTCTCTGGCCAGGAGGGATTTTATAGTACTGTACCCAGGAGAACAGTTACCCTTCCCTTTATAGTTATGACAGCATGTGAGCGAGGCCCACCAGCCAAGCACCTGAGAGAAATAGTTTTCTATATCACCTGAGAGCACTTGCTTAAGTAGCCCCTGTCCCCTCACGCCAACTCCATGTGGGGCGAGAATCCATCATTTCCCTTGGTACTTTGTTCCAATGTTTAATCATCTATTTCAAATTTGTCCTTTATTTCTAATTTTAAATTATCTTGCATTAATTTCTTTATTATGCCTTTCTCTGCTAGATGAAAGAGCCCTTTAGTACCCAGTATTTTCTCTTTGTGAGCAGTGGCAGATTAATTATTTTGTGGCCCGTAGGCCGGGAAATAATTGCCGCCCTGGCCATGCCCTGACTCCGCCCTTTCTCCGCCCCCATTCCAACCCCCTCCCCAAAGTCCCCACCCCAACTCCGCCCCCTCCCTTCCCCTATTGGATCCCTTCCCCAAATCCCCGCCCCCGCCTCTTCCCCCAGCGCACGGCGTTCCCAACCTCCCCCCTCTCTCCTTGCCCCGCGAAACAGCTGTTTCGTGGCGCAAGTGCTGGGAGGGGAGAGAAACAGGATGCGGCGGCACGCTTGCAGAGGAGGCGGAGGTGAGCTGGAGCAGGGGGGCGGGGCGTGGAGGGGAGCTTCCGCCCCTGCATATTTGCCATCCTAGGCCTAGGCCTTTTCAGCCTAGGCAATAATACGGCACTGTTTATGAGGGTATTTATGCACCATAATCAAGTCACCTCTTCATCTTCTTTTTGATAAACTGAACAGATTGAACTCTTGTCTCTCACTGTAAGGCATCTTTTTCAGCTCTTTTTAAAATAGCTCTTCACTGCCCCTTGTCCAATTTTTCATAGTTAGTCTTAAAATGTGAACAATGCAACTGGATGCAATGTTTTGGTATTGCTCTTACCAATGTTGAATAGAGAAATAAAATCAGCACCATATTTCTAGTCATTATTCTCTTGTGTATATACTTTCAAGAATTGTGTTGGCCATTTTTGCCACAGCATCACCCTGGGATTTCATGTTGAGTTGTTTTTCCATTATGACGCATAAATCCTTCTCAGAGTCACATATGTATGACCTTGCATTTTATCAAAGCCCATTTATACAATAGAATTTCCTCCTCAGTCACCTTCCCCTGCTGCTGTCCCTTTTCTCTTTCCCTTTTGTCCAGGATCTGTGTGTGCCATTTTCGGGGGAGTTCTCCTCCTCTCTTTGCCTGTGAGCAACGTGACCCCCCTGGATGGACTGACCAAACCCAGGATTCCATCAGCCTTAAAGAAGAGGGGAGAGTTGACCTATTCCCTCTTTAAGGCTCCAGTCCCAAGCCCTAGGCAGAGTCAGAAGCCTGGGTTCCCTGCTAAAGCACAAACATCCAACCTGGGGCTACCTTCTCTCTCTGGTCATTTCGTTTGTCCCGCACATCTGTCTTGAAGACACAACCCCTGGATCGGATTAGCACAGCCCCTGAGGTTTCCTTTCTCAGTCTCCAAGGGTCAGTACACTCTATTACATGTCTTGATAATGTTGTTTTTTCCCTTTCAAAAGTAAATTGTTTTATTCCTGGTCTCTTCATATGACCGTCCCACCCCCAAACTTTCTGCTTCCAATAATCTGCTTTCACCTTCTGTCAACCTTTTCTATCTCCATTGTATCTGTGTACAGATGAAGTGACCAAACTGAATGCAGGATTTGTGGTAAAGGAAAGAAAGACATTTCTGTGAAATAGCGATGTACTCTGTATGCGTTCTGCTACTGATTTCATTGAGGGTTCATCCAGAGAATACTTCTGGCTTCTCCACTGGTCAGTACTCAGTTCAGCATCGATATTAAACTATATTTATAGACGGCATTGGAAATAAATATTGCACTGTGTGAACATGATCAGTTTTACTGGGGTTTCTAGTAACAACTCAGTGACTTATTTGTTGTAGCTTTATCGGTTCAGTGGAAATCCAGACTCTGATTAACCTTTCCCTTGTCACTATTGTCTATAAAGTATTTATTATCCTAGCAGAAATATTCATCCTTTGTATTTATCGCTAATGGGGAATTCTTTTCTCCATTTTTTTTATTTCAGGTGTGAATTACCCAGGGAAAATTTCCCATTTATCTCCTTGGATTCAATGAACGTTTCAAATCTGAATTTGCTTTAGGAACAACCATGTTGCTCACTGCAGAATGTTCTCTTGCTGGTGTCTCACTTTTACCACATGTCTGATAGAACATTCAGTAGAACCCCTCCCTTCCCCCCCCATCAAATAGCCTGCCAGACCCAGAGGTGGCCCACCCTTGTCTCTTGATTTGTTCAATTTCAGCCTCTCCCTGTGATGAGCCCTGCAAACTGCACAATTCATCGGGCAAGAAAAACTTCCACTATGGGGAAGACTTTCAGAAAGGATTTAATAAGAAAAAAGGCACAAATTGAAGCTGAAGAAATTACAGGGATAAAAAAATCAGGAAACTTCCATCCTGGCCAATCAATGGGAAGTTATACAGAGGAAATTTGTGAACCTTTTCCCACTCACACTTTCCTGCAACTTCACACAAATTCTATAGAAACCCCTGCTTTGTCTATCTACCAGGCAGGGACTGTCTCTGGGCATCATGCCAGAGGGAGCATTTCTCAGAGAAAGGGGCAAAGCTTTTACATTATCCCAAGGTTATTTGGTCCAGTCACATTGTTCTGATACTGATCCCCCAGAGTCACCATGTCCCACATCATCATAACTTGTGTCTCCAAGAGGCAGGAACAGGGTTTCTTTCTCTGTCACAGAGACACCTTCATTCCTTAGCGAGTGCAGATTCCAACCTGAAAATACAAAGGGAAACACATACAGTCAGTGGGTCCATTTTATGGCTACGTGTGGGCGCATAGCAAGGGTGGAGTGCACTCTCTGGTATGGGTTAGAAAATGTTCCCTCTTTCTTCTTCTCATTGGTTCCATGACAAGTTTTAATCCATCATCTCTATACATATTTTGGAAGTAAAATCCTTGGTTTCCAGACCATTTACAGTTGCCAAATGAGAACTGTATTCACCTGTCACTTCATGTATAAAACCCAGTCACTTACCAGGAAGTAGCTCTTACTTAAGGACATTGTATAATTCTCTCTGCGCTAATCATACACATGAGCACATTATACTTATCAAGTACCAAGTATTTCTTATTTTTACGCCATTCCAGTATCTTTAGGCATGCTGGTGAT